CGGTTCGGTTCGGGTTCGGTTCAGGTTCGGTTCCGTTCGGTTCGGATATTTTGCTCAGCCCTACATAACACTTGAAACATCGAGATTTTGGGTTCAATGAGAAAAGTAATGTGCTTGGTACACGTAATAAGAAGGCATAGGTTAAGTTAGTTAACTTTTAATCAACTTATATAGATTATACTTTAGTTATGTAAGTACTCTTGATAATTTTACCTATATCTAGGTGACTTGAATAGCTACTTAAAACATTCATAAAAAATCTCGAACAAACGACATGATCCATTGACGTGTCGGTAAATATATGAACACACGGATATGAAATTTGTGGTTGACTGTTTCCTATTAACCATATGGGATCGTTGGTTCAAAGTTTGTCTACAGTACAACATTGGTTAACACTTTGAGACATTTTCATTGCGTGAAGATTCAAGTCCATGAGACATATTTTCTTTATGCATTAAAGATTGTGAAAGCTACACGAGATATTTTAAAAGCTTCACTTATTTTGAAAATGATGGTTGATTGATGGAACATTTTCAAAATTGGTGTCATTTGGTTCTATGCATTTTCAATAGATTGGTGGGTATATTTTCTAAATTGTGGTTTTAGACATTGTAGGAAAACACAAACGATATTACATGGTTCGTAAGATGTCCAAATTAGCATGAGAATTGAAAGAAGGGAGGTTCACTTGGCTGGTCAGGCTAGTCTACTTTAGATCGCATCACCTGAACTATCCTTTATCGATGTTATCCTGAAAAGTTACATGACATGCATGTGGCGGAGAGGAGTCCACATTGGCTGACTAGACATCGATTTATTATTTTAATTGTGTTATCAATTAAAATTGATAGAATAAAAGCGAGTCCATGCACCCACCACACAAACCATATCAAAAACCAGCTAAACCATCTGCGAGCCAAATCATTTACAAACTCACAATAATGTTAGTGAGCCTATATAAATTTCACCAGCTTTTTCACATCAACAAAACCCATTATCAAAGTGCAGGTGAACAAGCATAGCAAGCATGGCTCCTCAGCCAATGAACAAAGGACATGAACGTCAATAAATAAAACAAGAACATATAACAACTTTAGTTATAAATTAATTAATCAAATGTTGTCATATGACATTAACCAAAGACCTATTTACACCCAAGGATTTGATGGAATTGTATAAATAGGCGCCAATTGGTAATGAGGAGCATAAGCAAAATTTGAATAGCTCCTCTCAAATCGTCATTTCTCCTCGTACTCCTCGAGCATCAAATTAGTGAGATACGGGGGGAATATTGGTTATGTGAAAGTTTGTGTATCATCTTTTNCATCTCTCTCACATGGGAGGTGGGACCCATTGAAATAATGTTTTTTTATTCGAGTGGACCCCACCCCCCATGTGAGAGAGGTGTAAACCAATCTTGATGTACCACCAGCATGGTCCATAAATTTCACCAGCTTTTTCACATCAACAAAACCCATTATCAAAGTGCACGTGAACAAGCATAGCAGAGCATGACTCCTCAGCCAATGAACAAAGGACATGAACGTCAATAAATAAAACATGAACATATAACAATTTTAGTTATAAATTAAGTAATCAAATGTTGTCACATGACATTAACCAAAGACCTATTTACACCCAAGGATTTGATGGAATTGTATAAATAGGCGCCAATTGTTAATGAGGAGCATAAGCAAAATTTGAATAGCTCCTCTCAAATCGTCATTTCTCCTCGTACTCCTCGAGCATCAAATTAGTGAGATACGGGGGGAATATTGGTTGTGAAAGTTTGTGTATCATCTTTTNGTACTCCTCGAGCATCAAATTAGTGAGATACGGGGTGAATATTGGTTATGTGAAAGTGTGTGTATCATCTTTTAGAGGTCAACAACCGATGGACCTATGTGATTGATGACTAACAAACACATATTAGGATTGCTTAATGACCTTAGCAACTCTATAGTTAACTTTATTGAGCCAATTGTTCAAGAAGGTTGAAGCAGATGGACAAGTGGGTGAAAAACAAAGTGACTGATGGGGACCAAATTGACAAGTATGTTGATTACTGGAGTTATACTTTATTGCAATTGTGATTTAAACTGTCATGTCAGCTCTTCTGCTGATAAACTAATGGACTTGAATGCCAAGATAAAAATTGTAATAAAGTTTAAATTCTGTGTTCAAACTGAAATAAAATATACTTTACTGGACTAATATGAAATTCTACAAACATTGTAATAACCATCTAAATTCTAATGCATTCATAATTGTCATTTGTTTTCCTTAATTACTTCTACCTAATTTGGAAAAATAATTAAAATTTTCAAATTCAAAGAGGTGAGAATGGACAAGAATCTGGTGAACTCCTTTGGCGTATTCGGAAACTCATAATGAGGAAAAAGTTGGCCAACGTACTCCTTAAATACACTCACAATTTACAAGTACAGAATACAAGACGCTTAATTTCTATTGAAAAGAAAAGCGACAGATTTCTCCATTTCAGTCTCCATTAATCTCCAAAGTGAGTTCTTCCTCTTTATTTAGATTTGTTTCTTTGCTTTTTATTTTTCTCAGTTTTACATAAAACCTTTAATCTTTTTATGTGTACAAGAAGATTGAAGAGGTTTCCGATTATCCATGCATGTAAAAGTAAAAATTCATTGGATTTTTTCGTGTTTATATGTGTTTATGATTTATGGGTTGTATACATGTGTGTTTTATGAGGACAATGGAAATGGACTAGAGGTTTTACCATATTAAAATAAGCCCAAAAACGTGCTGATTCATGAGTTCAAAAACAAGCCAGTTGGTGCAAAAAATAGTGTCCAACTCGATCCATGATTTGTCTCAAAATGAAACCACCACTAATTCTGGGTCGAATTCATAATGAATTAACATAGGTGACTGTCCAACTAAATATGGCTCAGATTTGGAAGTCACTATCCAATTGAATTTGTCAAAAAACAAATATATGGTATTCAACGTTAGATGAGGATTTATGCACGAAACTTGTCTGAAGAATAAAGGAAGTATCATAAAATTTCGTATACCATTCAAAAAGTGCGCTAGTTATGATTGCTAGTAGTCTTCTGAAAGAAGAAATAGAAGACCATGGGATTTTTTCGAAAGAAATGTAACCATTTACCAAGGCTCTCACCAGGTTGGGATAAGGGACGAGACGACGTCTTATAACTTCTTTCCGTTAGCCTCTGGTCCATTTCCATTAGCCGGCCAGTGGTTCGTTAATGAATGAAAGAGAAATGGGGTTTTCCTTTAAAAATTATATAAACTTTAAGATTTGGGTCTGTTATTAGCAACCAATAATTTGAAGGTGTCTCAAACTTAATGGGTTATGAACAATTTATTTATTTATTTCTTTGCAGAAACTACTAAATGTACTAATACTCAATTTTTTCTAATTTCTAATTTGTCAGCTTTATTATTAATCTTATTATTTATACTTTGATCTTTTCGTTGAGTTCTGAATATTTTATTGTTAATTTCCTTACATCGAAGCATTTGACATTCTTCTCGGTGCCTTATATATATCGCATGTTGTGTAAGTCGATTTTTTTCCACAGAATAAGTTTAAATCTGTAGAAAAGATATGGTCAGTCGTAGTCGTGGTCGTGGTCGTGGACGCGGACGCGGACAAAGATGTGAATGTGGTCGTGGACATGGACATGGACGTGGCCATGGCCGTGGTCTTGGTGTTGGTCCTGGTCGAGGTCGGGGTCGGGGTCGGGGTCGTGGTCGTGGTCGGGATCGTAATGAGTACTCATCAAGTAATCGAACATTGCAAGACTCATCACCCATTGTCACTCGATTTTTCAAAATCTTATATGACATGGAGGAGGACTTTTCAGAACATCTGGTATCAGAATAATTCCCCCAATTTATTATTTGTTTTCTCTTTCTCTGTGTATAATATTTTGTAGGAATTATTTTTTGTAGTGGATTACGCATGCATACATGTGTATGTGCATGTACAAAAAAGAACTCCTATGCTTGTCTGTAAGGATTTGATTATCAAAGTTTGAATTTGAATAACGTTTTTCCTTGGGAAATGTTATGATGTACGATGTATTTGGTTAATTTATTGTATGTTTTTTCTTGTGGCTGTGTTATATGGCATCACTTCTGACTTCAGATATATTCTCATTTGTGTTGAAGGTGGCAGTTTCATCGTTTGTAAAGAAAATATGCCAACCCAATTCTTTATAACAACCACCAATTGTGTATATGAATATTAAATATGTACCATTTTGTCAAGTTTATTAATGATCGTTTTTTACTTTTAAATATGTTCTCTCTTTAGGGTTCACTTTAGCACAGTCAATAAGACCATTTATATAGAAAAAAGATTATTAATGTATTAATTCGACGTGCATGCATTTCAATAGGTTGAGAAATAACGAATAATTTTGAACATTGTTTTAATTTCTTAATGTTTGAAGGGGTGAGAAGAATGATGACAAGAATAGAACCAACTCAAATTGTTGCATGTTGCCAGTCTTATGAACTTCAACATATGTGACCTTAAGTTCCATGTGAATTTTTCTCCATCTTAAAACTTGGAATATTTTTTTGGAAGTTTACATATTTCTAAACCTTATTATTCTCTTGCAGTACTTGCCTCCTGCTTTTGCTGCAACAGTAGGGAACTTGCTTGAACAAGAAACTTATCTAGAAGATTCAAGTGGGAAACGGTGGACTGTGACATTATCCAATGCCATTGATTCTCTCGCATTCAAGAAGGGATGGAAGGAGTTTTTCTTATCTCATGGCCTTAAAACTGGACAAGTTCTGGAATTTCATTACATAATGGGATCCCACTTTGTTGTCCATATATTCGGAACATGTGGAAATGAAATAACGCAATTTGACAGCAGAGAGATTATATATACGGTTGACAAAGAAATAGCTGCCCAAGATGAACCACATCAGACGTTTGATGTGAACTTAATCAATAAACCCATTTCAAGCGGTGGCAACACAGTTTTAGGTAGTTGCTTCAATACTTCAACTAAGATATTCTATATCTAACTTAAGAGTTCAATTCTTTCGTTTCGCATATATGCATTGCAGCTTATTGATTAAAGGTATATTCATTTATAGATGCAGAAATACAGTCATCTGCACAGAAAAATTCTGGTGAGAAGTTTATAGCCGCAGTTAAAGACACAGAGCACTAGGAAATCTGTGTCAGTTGATGCCAAAATTCCCTGTTCTGAGGTGGTACAAGGCTAACATTTTCTAGTATATCACTTTGTACTAAATATTCATGTTTTCAACAATCTCTAATGGCCAATTTAATTTCTATGTACTGTTTTCTTTCTTTAATTCGTTGTATCAGTTATGTGCTTCATTTATTTGTCATTTTTAAGAAGGGGGCTTAATGATCAGTAACTCAATTCAGTCATCTTGTGTCATGTGCACATGTACAAGTCCGTTCAGATTTGATGAGTTTCTTGATTTTCATAAATATTTTGTAGCATTTAATTTTGCATTTTTAAATCTATATACTTAAAGCCATGTGTACTTCTCTACAGGGCAAAAGAAACAACACGATAAAGATATTTTTGTAATGACTTCCTTTCTATATCTTATCTTCAGATTACCTTTTATTCGTTCATTACAGTATGCACTTGAGTGATGAAATCTCTCAAGAAATCACGTATGGTTGTTGCTCGTGACTTATCACGTGTGAGGGGTTTTAATGCATATGGTAAACTAAATGCTGGGTTTCTTTGATTTCTTTTGCGTGTTGAGTTTTACATTAGTTTTTTATGTTTTACATATTATGTATATACTTGTTGGCGCTTGGTAAACTTGAACGGAAATAATAATAAGAAGAAATGTCCCATCAACTAGCTGATCCTTAATATGTGAAAATGGTGAGATATATTTTCAGGCTTAATCAGAGATAATGCTGATGACAGGTACTTAGTACATATAAGTCTTTGCTCTTATCTAGCCTGAAACTCCTAACTTGGAAAATATGAATTAAGTTCGAGAACAAAAATATCATGTACGCTCTAATTTGTACTCTTCCGTGAAAATATCCAAGATTGTATGTAATTATATTATACATAAACAAATGCCGAACGGTTTTGTTACATTGTCCTAGGTTCATCTCTTTAGTTCTGGAAATGAATTATTGGACGCGGAACGGTAAAAAATTATGCAAACAGTTTTTTGTAAGTAGCTGTTCGATGTAACTGGAGGCGTGCAACCACGTGGTATTAGCATTAATGCAATCTATTTGTACAGGGATTGCAAAATGACGCGCCATCAGTACTTCCTGGAAAAGATCTACAGAAAGAGCTTGGCGGTTGTCCACCTTAGGGACGTTTCTAACAAAAGACTCTTGCCAGTATTCTACAAAGAAAAGATTTTACAATGAAAACTGCATTTGTCTAGGTGACCAATGTTGTTTTGAACTTGAAGACAGTTCTCAGTGCATCTGGAGAGTAGATATCAACTGCAATTGATTCTAGTAGTTCGATTTATTTTGTGTTGGAAATACAACCTTAATTTATTATTTATCTGTCGTTTGAATTATTTTTTGTCTTTTAGTTCTTCGTTTAGAATATATA